CAGGATGTCAAGATGTACCAGGTGCCAGATTGCATCAAACCACTGCGTCCATGTCATTCGTCGGATGTTGGGGATAGCTGCTACACACTGGAGCGAGTGGATTGGCCTATGTGTGTCAACGTAGCTGATGAGATGCAGGAGTTGGCTGAGGTGCATAGGGCCATGTGCAGCTTGTTGGATGGGCAGTCTGAGGAAGTAGATGGCCAGTGTTGCAGTTGTGAGGCTCAGTGGCTTGACGAAGTTCAGGGTTTGGAGCAAGAGCTTCAGAGGATTAAGGGATTAGAAGATAGTCTGCTGTTGTCCTCCGAGGGTCCAATTCTTAAAAGTATTGAACTGTGTGTTGACAATGAGGTGGAGGCTGAGGCCTGCCAGTTAGACAGGAAGAGCGAGGAGTGCATGCTGGGATCCGGGAGTCTAAAGGCTGTTCAAATGGACGATGATGATCCACCACCTCTTCAGTCGAAGATTGTAGCGCAGGACCAGGTTCGACGTGAGCTTGGTAAGTGGCGTGGATCTATGGGGGAGGAAGTAGAGTCGTTAGTTCAGAAGACTGAAGCAGTTGAAGACTTGACAGACGACCAGTATCACAAGCTGGTGGCGGATCCAGGCGTGCATGTGGAACTGATTCCAGGAAAAATGGTGTATGTTTGGAAATCCACTGGACGTCGTAGGGCGAGAATGGTGGGATGTGGCAACTTCTGTGACAACGATGGCAGCACTCAGAAGGCAGATCTTTTTGCTAGTGGGGCTGGTGCGGAGTCCATTCGAATGATGATCCGCAAGTGTACTCTGGAACCATCTTGGCATCTGGTCTCGGTTGATGTGAAAACAGCTTTTCTCCAGGCGCCGCTTATGGAAATGCAGAAGGATGGTAAGGAGAAGGTCACAGTCGTTAAAGTTCCGAGCATATTAAGGGAAGCGGGTGTTACTGCTACCAAGTACTGGAAAGTCAAGAAAGCTCTTTATGGTCTGAACTCGGCGCCGCGCTCGTGGAGCCTTCATAGAGACCGGGTGATGACGGATCTTCGGATTGAGTATGGTGATGGCATCTTGAGGCTTCGAAAGCTAAAGGAGGACGCCAATCTCTGGCAGATTCTCAAGTATCCACGGGAGGGCAGAGATCCTGAGAAGGAAGCCGGTGAAGCAGGAGGACAGTGCCTCGGGATTATAGCCTTGTATGTGGACGATATCTTAGTTGCGTCGGAAAAGGACGTTGCCCAAGCTGTAGTTCGCGGACTGGAATCAAATTGGGAATTGTCAACCCCGGACTGGGTGTCGGAGGAAGGAGATTGCTTGAAGTTTGCAGGCTTCGAGCTGGAAAAACCAGTCAAGGGATTCGTCTTCATCAGGAGAGCTACACCAAGGATATCCTAGAACAGTACCAAGACACAATCCCGGGTGTGGAACGTACACCAGCTGTCAAGACTGTTGAAAGTGAGGAACCGGTGGATCGTTCGGAACAGCTGGAGTGGACGAAACGTGCACAATCATTGATTGGACAGTTGCTCTGGCTTGCGGGGAGGACCCGTCCTGACATTGCTTATGCTGTGAATCTTGCTGCTCAGAGGATAGTGCCATCTCCGGGTGAGGCGGTTGCTCGCGCAGAACACTTGATCAGGTACCTTAGGCATGCTCCAGGAGTCGGTCTTCATTATGTGCCACCAACAGGACAGTGTGGAAGGTGGGACCAGCTTAAGTTTCAGGAGACGAGGACAAGTCTAGAAGCATACTCGGATGCCTCTTTCGCTGCGGATGAGAAAAGCCGTAGTTACGGCTGTATTCAGCTGTGTTGGGGAGGAGCGCTGATATTCTGGGCCTCGTGCAGGCAGACTCTCATAGCGTCCCATACTGCTGAAAGCGAATTGTACTCGTTGGCAGAAGCGCACTTGTTGGGGAAGGCCATGAGACCAACGGTCGCAGCTCTGATGAACGCTCAAGAGGACCAGGTGGATTGCAGGTTATACTGTGATAATTCTGCTGCAATTCAATTGTGTGTTCTGGAATCAGGGTCGTGGCGTACACGCCATTTGCGATTGCGCGGTGCGGTGGTTCGACAGGACTTAGAAAACGACTCCTGGAAGTTAGCGCATCTAGATGGGGCTTACATGCCAGCGGACCTGGGGACAAAAGCAGTAGGACCAGCGAGACTGGAAGACTTGATTAGGGTGTGTGGGTTATGGGCTCCTCATCTTGAACTGTCGAATGATCCGCCTAGGCCTCAAGTAGCTGCAATGCAAGGAACTCCTAGTGATGTGTCGAAGGCGCTGTTAGCACTGTTGGTGCTGCTGCAAATCTCGGCTGTCAAAGCGGAATCAGTCTACGCAGGGATGGATGATCTAGTGACTTTGTGGCGAAGCTTCATTGTTGGGTTCGGGATAGGCTGTGGGTGGATGCTTGCGTCCAGATTGGGTAGGTTGCTCGATCGATGTTGTCGCAGGCGCCCGGTAGTCATGGAGTTCCGAGGACCCCCAGTAGGGACCAGTGGTGTTGAAGGATGGACTCAAACTGAAGGGTCAGAGGTTCAGAGCCGCTTGGAAGCGGGGGAGCGTGGGAACCAGGCGGCACAGCACGTCGGATTGGGGGTTCCTTCAGGGTTGATTGAGAGGGATGTGGGAGAATCTACATGTTACGAGGACTTCTGCGAGAGGGCTTTTCCGGAACTTCAGGGTTTGTCTAGAGGGTCGGGTGACATTGTGGGTTCAAGTGAAGCGTTGGAGGTGCTGCCAGGACCAGTAGACAGAAGTGGATCACCGGAGGTGAGGTTTCCTAGCGGACAAGGACAGTATGACGCAGCGAGTGCATATGCTACGGCTTCAGATATGGAACCACTGTATGTGCAGAGGCCTGTAGGGTTTCCGCCTGGTGACATGATAGAGTTGGCTCGTGCTCCCACGGTTCCGTTGCCTCCTAACTATCCTTACCCTGAGAACTTTGGCAATCGTTTTGTGTATGCCGACGATGAAGTTGAGCTAGGTGAAGATTCGGATAGCGGTGACGAAGCCAGTTCAATAGGTCAGTGGACTACAGATTCAGGCATGCCTAGGGGTCGCGGCTCAAGTTCTGCAGGATCGCAGGGCACCGGCAGGAGCCTGACGGCAGTGAGCCTTGCTGCTTCGGTCCAGTCGGCTCAAGCTTGGCAGGACGCTGCTCAGGAATCTGATGGGACTATGGAACTTTGGCTGTTGCTGGGTATGATTTCTGTAGGCTGCATTTTGGTTGGGGCTGTAGGCGCTATTGGGTGCATGTGGTTGTGCAAGTGCAATACCCACAGGCATCAAATTTCAGCTGAATGTACTCCCACTACTCCTACAACTCAAGGGCAGAAGGTTGCTGAGAAGAGCAGTTATTCTGACCGGCATGTTTCGGAAGGGCCTCTTCAATTTTCGCCAGTTGTGAATGTGACTGTTCGGACACAGTTTCAGGGAGAAGATTGTGCTCAGCATGAGAGGGTTGAGGTTTTGAAAAGAAGTTCCGAAGATGATATCAAGGAGGGCTTGCATCAGAGGGGACAGCAGAAAACATGTGAATCCACTGTAGGCCCCCCTAAAGGTTTAGAACCTCATAGGACCCGTGTTGAAGTCTCCGCGATGGAGTCTGCGCAATTCCGTGTAGGCCCCCGTAAAGGTTTAGGGCCCCATAGGACCTGTGCGGAAGCCTCTGCGGAGAGGCCTGTGCAATTCCCTGTAGGCCCCCCTAAGGGTTTAGATCTCAGTAGGACCCGTGCTGAAGCATCGGAAGTTGAGCCGGTGCAAGCCCCGGTAGGCCCCCCTACGGGTTTAGGATCCCATAGGACCTCTGTGAAGGCACCCGAAGTGGAGCCAGGAGTTTCCCAAGTAGGACCTTGTGGTTTAGGACTCCCGAGTATCCCTACAGGGTCTAGTGATAAAGTTGAAAGGCCCAGCGGGTCAAGTGGCGACGCTCAGTTCGATGTTCAGGTCAGTGGGTCTGGTAGAGATCTAGATCAAGGGCGTCCAATTGTGCGAGCAGATGGGTTTGTTGAGTATCCCACACGCGCGGGGTCTCGAATTATGATCGATAGGATTATCCGACCTCGCGGGTTCAAGAAGATGGACATTCATAGTTGCAGTGCAGATGAGCCGGGGGTCAATGTGATCTTCACGAAGAACGGAGATTGCTTTCACAGGTCTCTGGAGTGTCCGGCAGCTAGCAAGTCTTCGGACATTCGCAGGCGTCAGACTTGTTTTGTATGCAACAGACGGGAGGGATTTCCAAAGCAAGATACGATCTACTTTAATCGCTGGGGAAAAAGGGTTCATGTGAGCCGTGACTGCCCTGCTTTGGACCCTCACCAAGAGGTTTGTGCTCGCCGCAGGTGTAAGTTCTGTGGAAGCCAGTGAGGCTTTGAAAACATGGACAGCAGTGCGCGAAGCACCCCATGCTTCAGGGCATTTTGTCCTGCACAACAGCATGGAACGAAGCAAATGTTCGTTGGGGGAGTGACTGTGGATGTGCAGGCATGCAGTTCGTGTGCAGAGCATGCTGCTCAAAGGCATGGAGTCAGGGCATTCAGGTCCGGTTTGGTCCAGTTGCTAGGGCTCCAGACTCATTTCTCTCAGAATAGCTTAGAGTTGAACAGATTCTTTTCACAGATCAGGTAGCATCTGACAGTTCGTTTCGTGAGAGTTTGCGCTGCCGGGAAAAGGCAGTCGGGTCGGGCATTGAGTTCTTGCCTGCCCAAACGGGCACTAATTATCAAGGCCTCTATAGTACCTTCTGTAAGTCTGTAAGGGTCACGGTTTTGGGGCACTTTTTGGTTCGAACATGGCTAAGGACCATAACGGATATCAGTTTTCTGTTCAAGGGGGCCCATAGCCCCAGCCCAAGACCCTAAACCCTAAACACCTAAAACCTACACCCTAAGGCCTAAACCCCGAAATCCCCAAAATGCCTAAACCCTAAAACCCCTAACCCTAAACTCCAAAAGCCCCAAGCCCAAGATGTCCAAATCTCCCATTGAAGCTTAGTTCGTCTTCTCCGAGGCTTTCAAGCCAAGCCGGGATCCCAGTAGTTGGTTCAGGGCTTTGGGGTTGTGGGGTTTTGGGGTTTAGGGGCTTAGGGTAGGGTTTTGGGGTTTAGGGTTTTACGGTTTAGGGCCTACAGCGAGGCCTGCTGCAAAGGGCCTGCCGTCTCGATTGTAGTTTCTTTTTTGGTGTTACCTTATAGAATCCTCCTTATAAAATTGGTTAGGCCAAAAAACAGGAACTACAATGGAGACTGTGGGTAGAGCTGCACTTGGAGGTTAGTTGGACTTAGCATAGGGTTTAGGGCTTGGGTTTAGGATCCAGGTGGTTTCAGCTAACCTAGTATGAGTATGTCGGTTGCCAATCAGGCTAGAAGTATGAGAGCCCGGGACCTTGTAACCCAACCTGGACCTGCTGAATTCGAGTCGCGAGTTCCCTATAGTCCTCCAAGAAGTCGGAACAACTCCCCCCATTCCGACTTGGAAGACTCCGACTCCGACGCTACAAAAACGCCATTCGAGAATCTCAAAGCCCTAAGTTCTGTAGGCCGGGACGCTAAACCTAAGACCCCATAACACGAAGCACACCCCAAGCTCTAAATTGCGTACGCCTTCCGACCTATAGCTCTAAGAGGTTTGTAGTTTTCGGGTCTCCCGGCTGTGTAGGTTCGTGATGAAAGGGGGGGGGGGTGTTGGTTGACAGGGTCCGGAGGCAGCCTGCAAAGCCAAGAAAACCCCCAAGGAGACCCGTCAGCGATTGCTGCATGAAGTGGGCAGCAGAGCACGGGTGGAGATGCCGATGCCACATGAGAACCGAGGCAGATGGAAGCTTGACATAGACTCTGTACTAGGACCTAGAATAGGCCCTTATTCCCTTTTTTAGGGTTCAGTTTCCCTTATAAGCCCCTTTAAACCAAAAAGGGCATCCTTTTTATGCCTGGGTTACTCTTGGGTCTAGTGTATCATATGGACCCTCAGCCATTCGACTCCGGCACTGAAGGTTGCTCTTGCTCCTACGGTTGTCGTCGACGCAACTTGCGTAGAGTTTCAGGGTGGGTATCAGACGGCAATTGGGTTTTGGAGGTTTTTTGGCTTGGCTTGGAAACATGCGACAGACCAGCAACAATGTCAACGTCCGCTTTGGGTGTGGGGGTGCAAAGGCCCAAATCCAACAGGACTTGCACCACGAGGGTTCGAGTTTGCTGAAGGCATCTTGCAGACCTCATTCAGTTGGGGTCCCCGCAGGTTGTGGAATGAATTAGGCCCCGAGAAGCAAAGAGAGCAATTCTCAGAGAAGTCCCACAGTGCCTGCCGTTTATCCTTGAGCCAAAGTATCCTCCGGGCATTCGACTCAAACAGAAGGCGCTGACCCAAACTGGCCCCCGAAAGGTCTGCCCTCGTTCATTCATGTTCTCCTAAAGGGAACTCCAGAAAGTTGGAATATGGATTAATGGTAGGATCCCCTATATATTCTAACTTTCTGGCTTCGACTGTAGTTTCAAGGGCCCAGTCACAGCCCCGCACTTGGTTCTCAACGTGTAGCTGGACCCTTCAGGGCCGAATTTTCAAGCCATACAGCCTCAGCACCACGGAATCTGCGGCTGATGATCTAAATCCTGCACTACCTTACTGATTATGGTATATTCCTTATTCTGGGCAATGCAAGGTTTATATCAATTTCTATCACCAATCCTACTTCTTGAGGGCGCATGTCCAAACCCAAAGCCCATATCCAAAGCGGAGTCGCCAGCTACATCGAACCTGTACTTGACCTCAACCCTGAACCCGAAACCCTAAACCCCTCAGACTTGATCTAAACCCAAACCCCCGGGCAGAGGTAGATGTGGTGCCAGCGGTCAACGCGCAAAGACAACAAGCACCTTCCCTAAAAAACCCTAAAACCCTAATCCCTAAACCCTAAACCCTAACCCCTAAACCCTAAATCCCTAAACCCCGAAACCCCTAAACCAAAAACCAGCAGGTCCGATTGCTCGCCGTGTAGATCCCTGCAACCTGCGACCCGAGGACGCCCTGGAAGGTTTAATTTCGTGCAGTTAGAGCTTAGACTGTATAGGCTTCAGGAAGTAGTATCGGGCTTCATGACAGGTGTTGTAAAATATGAACATCTGAATCATAGGCAACTGGCTTTGAAGACACGCATACTCCCTGTATTCCCATACTGTAATCTTAGGCCGCGCTGACAATTGTTTTTGGAGGAGTCGTTTAGGCTTTCGTGTGTTGCGGCTTCGTTGGTTTTCGCGGTTTCGATGTTGTAAGAAAGGATGGTCATGGCTTTGTGTGAGGCGGTGAAGGTCTTGAAGGTTTCTTGGGCGTCTCTTTTTTTGGGAGCCTCCGCGTGTTTGATGTAAGTGTTGGCCCAGTGCTTCTTGATATCTAGAAACCAAGAGCGAGAGAGAAAGAGAGGGAGATAGACAAAGAGAGCGAGAGAGAGAGAGAGAGAGACCGAACAAAAAGAGATGGCTAGCAGCTGCCTCATGCTCACATAGGACGAGAGGACGAAGTTGCGCTACGGTCTTCGATGAGACGGTCGCATTACTTTCTAAAGCACCATCTCGGGGTTGATACCTTCAGGGCTTCGACTCTCTGTGTGGGTGAAGAAGTGCAGCATCCGCACCGAGCGTCTTTGAGAACCCTTGTCTCACAAGGAGGCCCTGGGAAGGTCCGAAGTTAAAATCTTGACCCCGGACAGAAGGAACGGACTCGCCAGTGTTTAACCCCTAAGCCCTAGGCGCTACATGCCCTAAGCACGATCAATCTCGGGCCTCCACCCCGTCCAACCTTTCTGCAACACAGCTTCGCTCTACGTGGCAGTGTTAGCGGTCGTCCTTGATGTGCTAGTAAGAGGCTGAGTTCCGAGTCCTCGCTCGTGGGGATCACGTTTTGAATCGGACTTCTGTGCGATTTTCACAGAGGAGCTCGAGGCATTGGACGTTCTCGAGACCTCATACGCACAGGACACTGCAGAGAGAGAGAGAGATGTTGAAGAAGCGGATGAACACTCTGTGTCGTCTTTGCATGGGGGAATTCCTTAACGCCTTCGGTGCATGCATGCTTCCGTATAATTACAGGCAGCTTGATAGGATGGGTTTTAGGCTGATTTCGGCCAGGACTATGGGAGGTGTTCACACATTCAGTCAGTCTACGTTCGTTCCGGTCGGGGCAGGACTTCATGCTTGTGACATTGAGCAAGATATGGGGCAATATGACCCCTAAACCCCCAAAGCCCCTAAACTCTAAACCCTAAACCCTAAATGACTCCCTAAACTCTAAACCCTAAATGTAAACCCTAAATGACTCCTAAGCCCATCCGCGTGCAGGGTAGGTCGGAAGAACCCAGGCACCCAGGCCTTGGCAACCTTTTTTCGTTTTCGCTGCGTAGCTTACCCCACCTGCAGGCAAAAACTAGGAAACGAGTTCAGGGCCGTAAAGACTGAAAGCCTCAACACGGAACAAGCCCAGATTTGTTTTTCCGATTTCCCGCTGTCACCCCAGTACTTGCAACAAGGGGAAGAGACCCTCAGATAGCAGGTCATTGTTCCTTAAACCCTCAGCCAATATCAACCTAGCCTGAATCTGTTCAAAATGCAAAATTAAACCTAAAGCTTGGCCAGCATAGGCTACTTAAACGGTCATGGGACTTAGTAACTAGGGTCATAGGGTTATAATTAAGGTAACTATACTTATAACTACTTGTAACCCCAACTAAGGTACTTATAACCCCACTTACTAAGTCCCATGATCCTCCAAGTAACACGAGACCCCCAGCCCGCGATGAATTCGAACGGAGTGTCAGGAGTACGTCCGATTGCGTCGTCTGCTCCGATCGATGGGCCAGGACTCTTCCGAAGTACCCAGAGAGCCCAATACCCCTTAATTGAGGAGTATAGCTTAAATCATAATATGTAGCCCTATATAATTTAAGCCATATTCCTTAATTAAGGGGTATTGGGCTCTCTGGGTAGGCATGCGAGTTAGGCCTTCAACTTTCTCGACATGTCGCCCGGAAAAGTCTCCAGGTGCAGTGTACGTAGGTTTTGACGAGGACGGATTATTTGGGGGCTCTTGGACCGCGCCGATCATTGAAGCTGCAGTTGGCACGGTTGGTTTCACTGTATCTTCAGGAAACTGAAAAGCAGGAGATACCCGCAGCCATCGCCGCAGACCGTTCTCCATCCTACTGCAGCTCGCATGCACTGTGTTTCTCTATGGTCCTGCTCAACCCTAAACACTTCAACCCGAACCATAAATCCTAAGCCCTATAAGCCTTTAATGAAACTGGGTGGTAGTCAAAACTATGGTCTTTTTGGGTACCCTATATTAGGTGCCATACTATATTTTCGACCAAAAAAGGGGACCATAATTTTGACAACCACCCATATAATCTCAATAATAGTATAGTAGTCCCTTATAAGGGTCCCTTATAGTAGTCCCTAAGATCCCTAAGGACCCAAAAAGGGCCCCTAATTTTGACAACCACCCAACTGCAGGCCCTGAAGGATGCTGAAGGGTTTGGGTACACACACGTTATATCATATGGTTGGTAGTCAAAATTATGGTTTAGGGTTTTGGGTTTTGGGTTTAGGGTTTATAGTCCCTTTTTTGGGTCCCTATCATAATACGGCACCCGATATTTAGGGTACCCAAAAAGGGACCATGATTTTGACAACCACCCATATACATGCATGTAGGATAGCATGTATGGTGCATGCATGGATGGGCGGTTGTCAAAGCTGGGGTCACTTTTGGGTTCCCAAACTTTCGGGTGCCGGATTAGGAGTAGAAATATATAGCGATCCTCAAACGGGCTCCAGTTTTTACATTTAATTTCATGCATACATACGCACATACATACATCTAGCCAGGCTTCGCCAGTACTTCATGCAGTTTGCGGGTTCCACGTGGAAGAGTGGTTTCAGCGGAGCAATTATTCTTTCTCATCCTCTAGAGATCATAGTGCATGAAGTTGCCAGTCAGAAGCCTAAGGACTTCGTGGGAGGGGGGGGGTCCGCGGGTGCTTGGGCTGGGGGGCTGATGCTCGCAATGCTGGATTTTGTTTTTTTTGGGGGGTCCTAAACCCTACACCCCTAAACCCTAAACCGCCAGACCAGCAAAACTTCGCTTCGGGTTCGCAACAACCCAAAGCCATGCCTGTCATCTTGCGTCTGGGGGGGCTCCTTGGATCCAAACGAGCACATCGCTTGTTGGGATCGGCAACAACGCTGGGGGGGCTCTTGATGCAAACCAAACCACGAAAAATGTCGGGTTGGGTTGGTGCGGGGGGGGGGGGGGCTAGGGCGAGCTGGGGCGGGCAGCCAAGGATAGGAACTCCATACAAGTCAAGCCATTTGCTGTCGTACCGCGCAGGGGCTTCATGCGACAAAAGGCCAAATATGCAACCAGTTCACCAACAACTGCTCAACCAGTAGCTCCAAGTTCTGAAGATGCAGGCTTACCAAACGTCTCGAAAACGAGCTTTGTCAAGCCATATCTCTTAAACTCGAAGCCTACAACCCTGAACCCTCAAGCTTGAACCGAAAACCAGCGAAGTATATCGGAGGCAACAAAAACCGAAAAAGCCCTGCCGTCACACTTTCCAGTGGCCTCAAGTCCAAAGGGCTTCATGTGGGATACGGTCCCTATAACTTGCAATTCCTGGTGTAGGAACCCTGCAGTCTACCATGTAGGTACATAGGACCTTTTTGGCGCACAATCCCTTAGCCATGTAGATTTGTTCTTCTCCCCAAGATCCCGATTCTATGGGATATTACGGCCCCTTGTTTTCCTTTTGATCACAGTGGCACTATCCAGGCGATCGATTCAGAGTGGACAGCGATGACATGCAAAGTGGAAACGCGTAAAAAGTGCTGAGGCTGCCGGGCGTTGTGCCAACAGTTCTGGGTTCATAAAGCCGTAAAGCCCGAGATCAGTACGTTTTGGCATACCCAAAGCTTTGAGGGTGTCCTACCCAACCCTAGCTGAAGAAGCCAACGTTGCAGTCTTTATGCTGCGATGCCTTCAGGGGCTTGGATGTCACATCCTCCACTTGAAAACCTATACCCTAAACCGGTGCAGAACTTCAAGAGCTCCTGCTGTCACTTGGGGGTCTTTGCGTGTTGATGTTCTCCGGCTCTGAGAACCCTGAAATCTTCACAGACAGCCGTCTCCTCACATCTCCAGAATGGAGCCTGAGGAAGCTCAGCTTACAAAGTTGCTCAAGCCAGAGCCATTACTCAGTGCTGCTGGAGAAAACCCTCTAGGCCCGGGCTTGGGCTCAAGTTGGTGCTTATGCGCAGGGTGACAGATTCGGTTTAAGTTGATTGGTTTTGGGGCTGTTGGACTTCAGGATTCAGTGATGTCGCATGTGTAGTGCGTAGGGCGAGCCAACAGCAGAACTGAATATGCCCGGGACCTAAAGTCTTTCGGATAACTCTGTGTTACATTTCCGCGAGCTGCACATCGATCTTCGCAGTTTGGCCGTCTTCAGAAAGAATCCCAGAAGCACGCTGTCCAGTAACTCTTTACTGCTTACTTCAATTTTGAAGCAACTGTGCCACGGGTTTAGGAGAATTCGTGGCAGCAGCACGCCCAGGAAAATTGAAATTTCCAACGGCTGCAAAACAAGTCCTTACATCTGACTCTGCTGCTCGAGCCCTTATCAGACTCAGCGGCCAAGCCGCGTCCTTAGACGAAGTAGTATTATGGTTACAGTTTTTGTAGCAACTACTAGAAATAATAAGTAGCCACGCGTCAGGAGCTACATCTCTCATCAAACCAGATGCTGAAAGAAAAGCAGCCGCAACCAGACCTATCTGGCCGTCGATCGTACTCAGCGTGACCGAGGATTGGCCTGAACGGCCTGAAGGCCGTTCCCACCCTAATAAAGCACGAGGTATCTATGAGGAGATGCATCACAAGCTGATCTGCATGCTACTTACCTACCAGCCTACCTACCTACACGACACCTTCATTTACACAAAACCCCAAACCAGGGCCCTTACTGGCCCTCAACCCTAAACGATCAGCTACATGTAGTTGCACGAAAAAATACCAACGCATGCATGCGGCTCCCTACGGAATATGCCTGACACAAAACATTATTCTGAGTCTAGGGCCCCTGTACTAAATTCAGGCGCGCCAGTATGTGCCCGCTTGGCACTCAGGGACGCCATGCCTCAAGCCATGGCTGTCCCGGAAGTGCGAACATGTGCTGGGCGAAAGAGAGACCCTTGGCACTGTTAGGGTTCAGGATCGCGGTTTAGGGGTTTTGGGTTTAGGGGGCCTATGGCCTGCCTGAAACCCTAGACCACTAAAGCCCTAAACCCGAAGCCTTAAACCCTAAACCTTAAACCCCAAACCATGTGTCCCAGACTTAAGCCCCTCATGGCCTATCATGTTGGCTCTACAGGCCTATCTCGAGACCACTGAATGGGCTAAAGTATGGAATGCATATGTACACGGACCCTGAGAGCTACTTATCTAAAGGAATATCTTAACAAAGGGCCCTGACATGGGAGGGCTAAACCCGAAAAAATTGTACTGAGACCTTAGTTGTGGAACCTGAAAGCGCTGGACCCCTCAACCCTAAAGCCCTATTACCCTAAACCCTAAACCCTAAACCTAAACCGTAGGGTTTAGGGTTTAGGTCTAGGTGGGCGCTGGCCGGCACCTCAGTCCGTGCTGAAAGGGCCCTAGACCTCTACATGCTAAACCCTTCACGCAAGCCGAGCCCGAGGAGTCCATGAAAGCGCTGGTGCGCAGAAGCCTCTGGGAGCCGTGTCTGACGAGATCAGCTGAAGGTTTAAGGAGTCTATAGCGACCGCCTGCCCACATCGTCTTGAAGGGGTTTAGAAGCACCTAGAAGCCATGGAATGTGTACTTTAGGTGAAAGAAACTGAATAAGAACCACTCTCAGGTCATACATGCGTACGGACCGGAGTTTACAGGCGTTTCTTGTCCGGGTTTTGTGTTCAAGTTTCAGGAGCTTCGAAGGTGTCGGTTTCGAGTTGTATACATGCGTTAGTCTCAAAGCCTCGGTGGTGGGTGCAAATCAAGCTGCAAAAGGGCATCCCAGACCCAAACTACCTAGGCCCTGAAATGTAGTGCCTTTCTTTGGCTACCGTGGACTCTTACTACAGGTTCGCAATCATAAAACAAGTCACCCAACAAACTATACCACTATTCAGGTTCTAAGCTTTATCCAAATGTAAAAAATAAAGCCTAGAAGTCCATACCTCCTCAGCCTTGCGCCTTAGAAAGCCGAAGCTCAAAATGCTGCAATGTGGCTTTGGTAGTCTGGTGCGTCATGAATGCGAGGAAGGGGTAGTAGCCTTGAGCTCTCGGTGGAGTGCCTGGGAAGCGGGATGATGCCAAAATCATGTTCTTGCGCCCGTGTGGTCCCTGAATACTGTTTACTTGTAGGATGAGCGACCTGCGAAGCCTATTGTAATGATGAGGGCCCCTTGTGGTCTTGGATTCTGTTCTCACCCATGTAGGCCACTGGGATAGAATTTGATATTTACCGCCGTGGGTTGAAGAAGATGCTTTCAAGGGTCAACCTAGACACGTAGCCGAAGACTGCCAAATTCGCCGTTGTCACAACTTTTGAGCCTCAAGCACGGCGCTTGCGAGGCTGCTGGTTCAGGAAAGTTAGGGTTTGGGCTTAGGCATTGCGTGTTGAAGTTTGCAGCTCTTAGATTTTGTTTCGAAGTTTGCAGCTCTTAGGGAGTTAAAGCCGGCTAGCGGCTAGGGCTCATAGGGTTCAGGTAGAAGTGTTGCAATTTTAGGGCTGCTGCCACTTGTGCCAACAAGCAGCGATGACCGTGGGGCGCACCTTGCTGGATTTCCCATTGCCCGAGAGCATCACCGTAGTGGACCACACGATCAAGAACACTGATGCTGGGCTCTTGTTTGGGGAGTTTCATTTATGTTGGCATCATAAGGAAAAACTTATATACAAAAGATCCATGTTATGGTAACCCAATTTAGAAACTACTTAACAGGGAAACAATATGTTATACTGTAGAGTTCCCTATTATGGTAGCTGAATACTTCGTGCCCTTGCATTGCGAGACTCTTGATGATGGCATGGCACTTGGAGGATCATGGGACTTAGCAAGTAAGGTTATAAGTACGCTAATTGGGGTTATAAGTATAGTTACCTTAATTATAACCCTAGTGACCAACTCCCATGACCCTTTAAGCAGAGAGAGAGAGGGAGAAAGAGAGAGGGAGAGAGAGAGAGAGAGAGAGAGAGAGAGAGAGAGAGAAAAAAACAAACACAAAAAACAACTCCTCAACAAGAGCCCAGGATGTGGCGACCTGCTCCGTGCCCTACATCCTCCCAGCTGCACCGCAAGTCGCCTTCGAGAATGTGGCCAGCTCTCAAACTAGATTGGGGGTTCTGAGAGTAAGTTTGTCCGAACTTGTAGAACCGGGAACACAGATTCCCCGTAATTTCCAGCAACTTCCAAGAGTTAACTAGCGCTAACTCCAGAACACCGAGCCCCAATGAAACTGCACACAGTTCTCATCAACCGAGCCATGCCATGCCATGCTAGGTGGCGCACTTTGTGGATTCAGAGCTCGCCGCGATCATCGAGATGTTCCGGGAGGAGATGGGCCAGGCGGTCAGCATCTGCGGCACGCCACTCCTTAGGGGTACTTAGAAATATTTGTTAGTTTTTGGCTACTATAATCCCTGAGAAACAGCTAAAATTCTAATTTTTGCTAGGGTTCTAAGTTCAGTATAGACTCTGTGCCAGTTAGTCGTTTTGACGTTCTGTGGAGCTGGTGAAGGAGGTTCAATCAAAGTTGATATGGGGGTTCGTAAGTAATTTAATCATCAAGTTGATACACCCTAAACCCTAAACCCTAAACCCTAAATCCTAAACCCTAAACCCTAAAACCTAGACCCTGATTCTCGGCATGCAGCCAGGAAGCCGCCCATGGAGCAGCACCTACACTTGAGGTACTCAGTGCCACCCTCCACATGCTACGTGGAGGCTTCAGGGGAAGCAACGGCGAAGATGTGCATGATGCCGGTGCCGGTGCGGTTCCCGCCGGAAGACTCACGATCGATACTCAAGGGTACTTAATAAAGACTGTTTATACTTGCTGGTTCCGAATCTAATTCCCTAAGAAACAGCTTCAATTATAATTCTGCTAGGGGTCTAAGTTCAGTATAGGATGTGGAGCAAGTTCCTGTTGCTGGCTCAGACCCGCAAGTCTGGCTTCAACAGCGAACGTGTTGCAAACGTAGGCTTGGTGCTTTGGCTGCACAGTGTCAAGCCAGAGCCTCGTCCCCCAAAGGATTCCACAATACCGGAGCCTAATGCACGTGCCTTAACAACTAGAATAGGGTTTGGGAGTAGATTAATATTATTATAACTATCATAAGGAACCCCAAAAATTTTCTTTTCTAATTGTAAAGGCCCCTACCTTAAGCCCTTAAGCCTGAAGAGCCTTCTCAGGTCTTCTGCGAAACCATGACTCAAAAGGACGGGCTGGTGTTGCGCGCTCGGGTGGAGGTTCTTGAGCAGTTGAGAGCTTCGATGATGCAGCCGGGCACACTCACCTACTTCCGCAAGCTGCGTAACTTCAACTTCATGGTGACGACTCCAGCGGCCTCACTCCAGAAGCTGCGGTCTGCGCAGCCCACGCCGCTGTGTCGTGCCCTCTTCTTGGGCGATGCTGGGTTCTTGTTAAGGGTTTTCATATAAGTTGCCAAAATAGGGATCTATGGTAAACACTATGTTTTCTTTATTATGATAACTTGAGCTAAATGGGAGTTTCCGGAAATAGGGGACCCTCATGTGGTACCCTAAATAGTAGTATCCCTATTATAAGGACCCCAAAATAA